TGTACAAGCACTAAACGACTGGCCCAAGGACTGTTGCTAGGTCTAATGAGTCCCTTATCCAAACTGTCCTGAACAAATCCCTCAATATCTTTCAATCTATTGTGGGGTACCCAGCCTGGCCTCTGTGACACCGGTGTTGAATCGCCAGTTGGAATACAGTGTTCGATTACATTTGTACAGCCTAATTCCCCATTTATCGAGAACACATCAGAATTCTTCTTTATGACTTTGTAGAGTCTCTTTTGTTGATCTGAGCTTACATCAGAATCATTCGACAATTCTCTCGCCATCTTGTCAATCTTCTCTCCCGTAGATATCTCAGTTGTACTTGCTTTCTCAGGAATGCTTGCAATAACAGGATTATCAATCAAGTCAGGAGAAAATGTCCCAATCACTGTTCCAGCTGTTATCTGAACACTATCATTGTGTGGGTTAGTCATGTGCAACAATATGGTACCATTATCTCTGACCTTCTCTAACACTCTGCCACATCCAATTCCAAATCGTTCTGACCCTCGATATCCAGCCGATTCAACAAGTCCAATATTTCCAGACATTTCTTCTCCATTTGCAACAGTACCTCTCACAACTACAAACTGACGAGGTGAAAATGTCACATTACTTGTAGCATAAATCAAGTTGACTTGTAGAGATGATGAACTTTTCTCTGATACAGTTTACTGATTCGACGAGTCTCTCACTTCACAACAGTCATCACCCAGAGTATATTTCAGTCCTAGTTTAGATATGATATCCATACCAAGAATAGCTGGGTAAGCCGATTTCCTCACTACTGTAAACCGTCGTGAATCCATATAATTTGACCCAATCTTGCAGTCTGAGGTTAAATCATACACAACAGATATTCTCTCCCCATCTACAGTTCGGTGTGAAGAATGAGGTTTGTCACGTTTGCCTCTCATATGCATGTCTAACTGTTCAGTAATAACACTGATCTGAGCTCCAGTATCTAACAACCACCTACACTTTCTCCCCCCCCCCCCCCCCCCCCCCCCCCCCCCCAATATAACCAGGAATTTTAATCTTTGAATAATCACATATATTTTCAGATATTGTAGCAGATACAGTTCTTTCCCAGTTATTTGTTGGCGAAAAATCATTAGCCAGAAATGTTCGCCCATCATTTGTAGGGCTGCAACGATACACCTAAGTCACGATACGATACGTATCTCGATACTTACATCACGATTCGATACGTATCTCGATACGCTACGATACACATAGTGACAAGAGAAGACAAGAGATAAATGAATTAAACTTAGTTTATTAAAATGAAAAATTAAATGAAAGTGAATGAATGTTCATGAATCATAAAATATATACTGTAATGAGTAATTTAACTAAATGAATCATCTGCCATTTCCATGTAAGGGCTAGCAAACACAAAAGTAACAGTCCTACACATTTTGAGTTGTGAGTGAGTGAGTGAGGTAATGCTTTACGTCACATCGGCAATATTTCAGCAATATCGTGACGAGAAGTTAGACATGAAATATACAAATATTTAAACGTTATAAAAATCTGTCATCGAAGGACAGTATGAGAACTAGAATATCACAGATAAGATTTAAAACTAGTTGCGGAACATTTAAAAGTATTAAGTATTAAGGAACAACACAATATAAAAATGGGCTAGAGATCGTCAGTAACTAAAGGGAGATCACCACACCAGGGACCATGGGGACTTATTGTGAGTTGTGACCAGATGGTAGGTGTAATTACTAAATGTACCAGTGTCCAGTAACTAATGATTCGCCATTTTCATGTATAAAGGCAAAAAACAATTAAAAATAATTATAGCAACAGCCATGTTATACAATATTTGAAAGGTCTAATCCTAGTGTTTATAATTATGAAAGTTATGCTTATCACATTATTTAAATAATGCATTGACAACTTAATTAAGTTCGTTGTAAATTAAAAAAATGTGAGCGAACACATTCATAACGTCTAAATTAAGGATCAAAGAAGCGAAAATTTGACGATTTGGGGCAAATATAAGATTTTTTTATTTTATAGAAAGCTTGTTTTTTTTCATCTACACGCTCGTAACATTGCCTGGAGTCTTTTCGTAGCTATAACATAAGATTTCATTAACCTATAATATGGTATTATGAAACATATACAACAATATACCTAGTTAATCAAAAAGTTGACCACAAGTCATGTAAATATGAAAAGTGGAGTTATTTTTCAAGAAACGGTTTCAGCTGGCTGATCCAGTTTTAAATGACATTGTTGCCCTTATACACAGAGTTAAACGGTGAGGTGAGGTGAAATTGGGTTTAGCGTCGCGTCCAAGATTATTGCACTTATATAACGACGTGCATGCACGTGTGTGTGTTGCTGCTTGTACTAATCCGGACTGATGCCGATTTATAGTGCTAGCTCGCTGAGATACCATGCCGCAGTTTAACATGAATACCCCACTCAGACACAGTATACTGACTCCGAGCCGACCAGACCTTGTTTAAACCCCTTTATACCGAGCGCCAGACAGGGTAACAACAAGTACCATCTATTAGCGTCTTATGGTATGACGCGGCCGGGGATCGAACCCCGGACCTTCGGCTCTCCGGGCGGACGCTCTACCACCATACCACGGAGGTGGTCCAGCTCCATAGTGGGGCAAATATTAATGGAGAAATCATGAGAATCTGTAGTACCGGAATTTCGGATCTTCTAGGTTTACCAGTCTTGCTCAAAATGCACGGTCAGAATGACCAGTGAATTCCTGGCTCAAAATCAACTACAACAACAATAGTGTGATGTCATCATAATAGTTGTTAAATGACAGCGAACTGTCAGAAGTATTCATAAACCCGTCTATTTGCTCAACTTCATGGCTGGTTTCAAAGGTCGAGAGAACTCTTAAAGACCAATATATTCAACAGTGGCGATAATGTCTCTTATCAAGTTCAAAAGGTTTATACCACCAACATTTAAAAGAATTACCCAAATTCGAAAATTTTCTATTACTTCCCAAAACTATCTACTTGCCAATTTTACAATTTCGCACATCGAATCATCATTTGCCCATTGAAACCGGCCGATGGAGAGGGTTACTGAGAGAAGACCGTGTCTATACACTATGCAATTCATCTACTGTTGGAGACGAGTTTCACGATCTTTTTAGGTGTGAAGCACCAAAACGACTTTACATCCCAAAGAACTGTTATATCTGGTCAAATATGTGTAAACTGCGTAAAACGTTATCACCTAAAATATATATCCACTTTGAAACATCTGTCCAGATTTATTTTACATTTGAACACAACATTACGTTAATATAAAGTGTCTAAATTATTGATTAAGACATGTTACCGTCTTGATCTGCATTGAATATATATAGTCTCTGAACAAGAGTATATATATATACATATATTATTTATCAAGACATTAAGACAAGAGTATATATATGTATGTATTATTTATTAAGACATTAAGACATGTTACCGTCTTGATCTGCTTTGAATATATATATATTCAATGATCTGTGATTTTGGGGTTTTATATATATATTCAATGCAGATCAAGACGGTAACATGTCTTAATGTCTTAATAAATAATACATATATATATATACCCTTGTACCACCGTTTTTCAGAGACTAAATTGAACTCGAACTGGAACAGTCCGCAATGTTGTAACGAAGCTATGAAGTTACCTCAATGTGTACAGCTCATTATGTGAGGCCGGACACCTGGTTTAAAATGTACCCGGGCCATAGGCTATACCAAGAAGTAGCTACTTTAGGTCTTGTAAACTTGGTTTCTTATAGTTCTCGTTACTTCCCGCCTCAACTTCCTGGATCAAACCATACCTTGTAAGTAATAAGAGCTTTGTGGTCGAATTAAAGGGGGTCTACGCTCCTTTGTCCTGTGCCCTTATTAGTCTTGGTGGAAACCTCGTAGTTATAGTGCCGTGCGTGACTTCGTATCATTGCCTCTATGTAAGTGGAGTAAACACTAACTTATATTGACCTACATTATGGAATCTGAGTAAATGTGAGTGAGTGAGTGAGTGAGTTGGGTTTAACACCGCTTTTAACAGTATTCCAGTTATATCGCGGTGTGTCAGCTTAATGTGTGGGGGGCACGGGTGGCCCAGTCGTCTAAGGCGCCGCGATTCGCTGTGCAGAGTTGCGTCCCTTGGGCAGAAACCTATGATAGTGGGTTCGAATCCCGGTTCGCCCCGATTATGTTTCTAGGTTTGTCAGCACCATACCCGTGCTCGTGGGTTTCACCAAAGTGGTAAACGTCTGAGACCTGCATCACTTCGGGCTTTCCTCCCACATTAAGCTGTCACGCTGTGATATAACTGGAATTCTGTTAAAAGCGGCGTTAAACCCAACTCACTCACTCACTTAATGTGTGAGTGAGTGAGTGAGTGAGTATGGTTTTACGCCGCTTTTAGCAATATTCCAGCAATATCACGGCGGGGGACACCAGAAATGGGTTTCACCATATCGGGAATCGAACCTGGGTCTTCGACGTGACGAGCGAACGCTTTAACCACTAGGCTACCCGACCGCCCTGCTTGTGTGAGGAAAGCCGGAATCGATGCAGGTCTCAGAAGTTTACCTGAGTAAAGGATACACAGGTATGTTTGACGGACCTGAATCAATCATACCAGGCCTGCTGACTACCCTCCCGGATCTAGTGTCCTATTCAACATGCTTCTGGCATATCAGACATGCTTCCAACGAACGTAAGGAGGAGAGGGTGGGGGTGGGGGTGGGGTGGGGTGGGATTGCGCTCAAAGTGTTCTCATAATGTCACCCGAAGCAGCATTAGACATTTTCTTTTGTGTAGCCAACGTTTAATTAATGTAATTAATTTGATACAACCTTAAATAGGCCCCTAAAACTACAAGTACTGGTATAGATATGAACCTCAACACATGTGATCAAGACGAGATAATACATAGAAATGTCCCTAGTATCGTTGTCTGACTATACTGAATAATGGTTTTATAGTGTTTGGGGGTGATTTATTGTAGTGTTGTACAAACACTAGTATGTTTATCCTGTCAGGTATTCGGCGGATTAAGAAGTAATATAAGTAGTTATATGTTGATATTCATTGTTTTATTGGCATTTATACGGTTTTTAAACAATTCTTTTTAATCGGCATTTTCATTATTATATATATCATTTTCTTTGTATCAGTATTTCATGTCATGTACCAGTTCGTTCGGTATTCCCTATCGGAGTATGATTTTTTGTTTTGTTTGTTTGTTGTTTAACGCCGCACTCAGCAATATTCCAGCTATATGACGGCGGTCTGTAAATAATCGAGTCTGGACCAGACAAGCGAGTGATTAATGTCATGAGCATCGATCAACGCAATTGGGATCGATGACATGCATCAACCAAGTCAGCGAGCCTGACCACCCGATCCCGTTAGTCGCCTTTTACGACAAGCATAGTCGCCCCTTACGGCAAGCATGGGTTGCTGAAGACCTATTCTACCCCGGAATCTTCACGGGGCCTATCGAAGTATGAATGGCTGATTGTTTGATATACTCGAGGTAGTATTGGTGGTTGAGTATATTCGAGGTAGTGTATGGTTGATTGTTGAGTATACTTCAGGCAGTGACTGGCTCAAGGATGGGAATACTCAAGAGTATGAGTGGTTGATATTTCACTATACTCGAAGTGGTTAATGGTTGATTGTCAGTATAGTCAATGAATGGTTGATGATTGAGTATACTCGCGGTTGTGAATGGCTGATAGTTCAGTGAACTCGAGGGATGAATGATTGATTGGCTAAGAATACTCGAGGAGTGAATGGATTATGGTTCATAAACCTCCAGGGGGTGAATGGTTGATTGGTTCAGTGTACTCGGGTGTTGGTTGGGTAGGGTAAATGATTGATTGTTCAGTATACACGTGGGGTGGATGCATGGTTGATTGGATTTGTATATATTTGGGTGAGTAGTTAATGGTTCTGTATTCACTAGGGATGAATAGTTGGTGAACCAGAACCAGAACAGAATGTATCCCTCCTACGAAAACCTAATCATACCACTTTTGTGCCATAATTATTATTATTTTCAAATCGAGATTGTTTTAGTTATGTCAATTATTTTCTCGTTACTTCGACTTTTATCTCGTTACTTTCAATTATGTTCCTGTCACTTCGATTATGTTCTCGTTATTTCAATTATTTTCTCGAAATTTCGAGGGGTTTTTTTTGCGTTATTTCGATTATTTTCACATTCATTTCAAGTTCACCTCTGTAAAACGAGAAAACTTTCGAGAAAACAATTGAAATAGCGAGAAAATACACTTGAAATAACGAGAAAATAATCGAAATAACAAGAAAAAAATCAAGGCAACGAGTAAACAAAAATCGACATTTTCAGAAAATAATTGAAATAACGAGAAATTTCGATTTAAATAAAATACAATTATGGTACCAAAGTGGCTTTCGTACCCTTCTGTCACATTTGTGGTGTTTCTTGAGTGAACACCACCACTCAGTAATGTAAGAAGTAAATGCAAGACCAGCACCCATTACTCATAGATAAATAGTGTTGGTAATAGATATATGCATCCTCTTTGTTCCAGAAATCCGGGTTCTGTGGTGTTTCCGGGAAAGGAAGTATACATAACTAAGGTGACCCTGACCTTCGCACTTCCTGGATCATGGATCGCCAAGCAGAACTCGTACGTCAAGAATGCCCGTCTAGTGACTGCACGCAGTTGTAGCCTTCTTTTGAATTGTATAACCAGGAGGTATAGTGTGACCTTATCGTTCTTACCCCCACACAGTACAGTTGCGGATCCAGAGGGTGTTGATGGGGTGTCTCCTGTATTGACCACCCACTTTATAGACTTCTACTTAAATATGTGGACCCCCATTAACCTCAAATCCACAACATACCTTCGTTATAAGTGTAGGAGAAACCATGTCTCAGAGGGATTACTAGAGATTGTAAACCCTCACATGAGGGAACGTCCCGAGGGGGCCTACTGCGGCATAGACAACGTTTCTAATTGAATAACTGTAATAAAAACTCTCAAATGTATAACCTGTATCGGAGATGAAATATCGCCTGCAGTCGTGAACTCGGTTCAATGAAACCGGTGACCTCACCACGTGCGTCTCGCAATGGCACGAAATCTGCACGTGCGTCTCGTAGGCTGTTCGTAGTTTTTGTTCTATCAAGGGTTTACAATGATTGTAAGCCCTCCTGCGAGGTGTTACAATCGTTGTAATACCTCCTGCGAGGTGTTACCACAATTTCAAAAACTGCATATCGAGTTACACAAACAGCCAGTAGGTTTTAAATTGTCTTTTTGTTATGGGCACATATGAAGATCCGGGAAGAGAATAGGTCTTCAGCAACCCATGTTTGTCGTAAGAGGCGACTAACTGCATGGGGTGGTCCGGCTCGCTGACTTGGTTGATGCATGTCCTCGTTTCCCAATTGCGTAGATCGATGCTCATGATGTCAATCACTCGATTATTTACAGGCCGCCGGCATATAGCTGGAATATTGCTTAGTGCAGGGTTTAACAACAAACCATACAACCAACTGTTTCTTAAGGGCGTTTTCTGTCAAAATCATTTTGTGTTAATGTCATTCCGTGTATGTAGCATATTACTTTGAGCCTTAACGGACGGTATTTGAATTGAAACTGGTTAATGACAAAGCTCTTATTTCGGGGTCTTTAAAATGCGATCGCGAAATCCACAGAATGCTTGAGGGCAAAAAAATATCTTACAGAGAAAGCTAATAAAAGAGACTAATATATCAAAACAAGAAGTCTTGGAGGATCAAATTTGCATAATTTAAGAAATAAGCAAGCTTTTTAGAAATCGACATGAAAATCTTACCTGAACTGTTGTCATCACTGGATTTCTGTAGTCCAGTCATATAATAAGAGTAAATCAGTGATGACACAAGGTGTTCGCGAAAGGGGAAAGTAGTTTTTTCGCCCCTGTTTCCGTGACACTCACCCATCCCTACGTTTACACTTGTTCGTAGTTATTTCCACACGTAGTCCATCCAAGATTGTTATTCCCTACCGGTAACACCCGCAAGTTATCCGTAATTTATACCAGGATATGGTTAGTGCCCTTTTGGGGCCACAGGATCTACATAAGTTTAAAAATTAGTTTCAAAGTTATCAGATAAGTCAATATGAATGATAATTAGGCCTGAATATGTATAGGTAAGATTAAAGTGTCGAACAGGCTTTTTGAAGAAGAACAGTTCTTTGAGCCAAGCTGATTGTCTTTGGAAAGGCGATTATGACAATGAAGTAAAATATATCTTGGGTCAGGGATTTTCTCACAGTTAGATTCCCCCTGACGTATTTTTCTCTCTTTTTAACCATACTAATGTACTTTACATGTCAGAAGTTTTAAACGTGAAAGTGAAAGAGAGAGGCTAGTTGTCAGCCACTGGATCCCCGTTCGATGTTAAACAAAAAATAAAACTTTTAAGTAACTATTCAATCTGGCATTTCCCGTCGGCCGAAAAGGGCTCTTATCCTATATCGTACATTGTCATTTCCATTGCATCGGGCCAACAATGGCCCTGAATATACCTTGTCCTTTTAGGCCAGGCGTTTTATATTTTTCGAATTACGGACCCGCCGACTCTTTGAGAAAATGTAAAAAACAAAATCAGATTTCCATTTTTTCCCCCGCCGATAGCCACGTAGTCAGTTGTTTTATTTGTTATCATCACCTTTTAATAAAAAAAAACATATGAATTTACCGTTGTGAACTAGTAAAGAGATACATAATCGATCTTTGTTGATCTCGAAGCCGAACATGAATAGCCTCCCTTGACAATTGTCCGTCTTGTAAGTGGTAGAATTTTTATTGTTAAAAGTGGCTTTATCGTCACACAATGCAGTCTTTTGAACACAGAATATGTTCATAAAGTATGCCAGAGGCATTCTGCATAAAAAAATGCATCTGGCTTTTTTCCCCTCCTCCAACCCTGGACTTTGGGCTGAAAAATCCGTAATACTAAAAATAAAAAAAGCCTGGCCTTAAAGCCTGATATCTTGTCTATCCACAGAGTGCAACAATGAAAGACACGTGTGCAGCAACTGTAGAAACACCCAGTCGTCTGCTTATCTTCTACCAACCAACCCTCAACACCAGTATCTCCGCTTATCTCCCTTCTTACGTCATCAGACGACTTGTTGGAGAGAAGGTGACAATAGGTCGACGCTCGAGTGCAGACGTTTGGTTGAATGACGAGCGTATGTCAAGAATGGACGCTGAGATATGGAACGATGGTAGAGATCCGTTTGTCTTCAAAATCCGTAATATCAGCGAGAGGAAGATGGTGATAGTCGACAGCAAAGTACTGAATAAAGATGACCAAGCCTCTTTCAAAGACAACTGCACCCTTAAACTTGATTTTGTAGAACTTCTCCTAAAGGTGTGTCCTGGGGATGCCATTGCGGCGACCTACGAAGTCAGCGTTATCAAGAACGCTGTCGTTGGCAGGGGCCCTCCTTGTGACCTCGGGTCTTCCCACGGAGACACGTTCCGATCAACCGCCCTCCTGCGCTGTCTTATGCCCCACGCAGACACCGAGGGGCGTCCTGCGTCTGGGAAGGGTTATTCAAGTTCACGCCAATCCCTTCCCCCGAGCCTCTAGGTAACTGTTCAAGAAATGACCTTGACTCTAGTTGTGTCTTCGATACAAGTGGAAAGTACCGCCCAAACATTCCAGCCAATCAACATCCAGCATCCACACCACGGTGCCACACCTGCCTAAGAGCGGGTCCTGATAGAAGGCGATAATCTCCTTGCGAAAATAGTGACGTCATCAACAGACGACAATAATGCATTTTGATATCTGTGTGATGTGTGATGCTGTTAATGCGATGGAGGCTATATCATTATGTAAAGTCAAATGGTCATACTCAATAGGTAATCTCGGATTGTCTCAAGCGTGCCAGTGATTGAGTATGGTTTTACACCGCTTTTAGCAATATTCCAGCAATCTCACGGCGGGGGACACCAGAAATGGGCTTAACACATTGTACCCATGTCGGGAATCGAACACTGTCTTCGGTGTGACGAGCGAACGCTTTAACCACTAAACGCCCCTCAAGCGTCCAAGAGACGACAACATGGATGACTTCTAATGTGTACAGGATTGTTTCCCTCCCGGCTGGTATTAATACCGTAGCCAGATCGTACCATGATGGACCTCAGCTTGTGATCTCACAGAACACTGGATAAAGTCTCAACGATTTCATAATTTTAGTAAATTGTTATTTGTGAAACATGTATGCATTATCGAGTAATTGACAAATAAATTGGCTAAACTTCCAAACACAAATTGTTCCGATTTCTTTACGTTTATTAAGCTTGCATTAGTGCACCATTCGGGGGCTCGACTGGCCAAGCCGTCTAAGGCACCGCATATCGCTGTGCAGAGCTGCATCACTTGGGCACGGCAGTAACGTCTAAGACTTGCATCACTTCGGTCTTTCCTCCCACATTAAGCCGACACGCCGTGATATAGTCTGTTCAAAGATTAGATGAAGCCATGTACAGGCAGCTAAAGATTCGTCACCAAGTCGGCTTTTCTTTTCTTTTATTATACTGGAATACTTCATTAGTACTTTGTACTTTCACAAAGCCATAAACAACAGCGCTGGAAGAAGCAGCAAGCTTTTGGTGTTTTAAGCCAAAAGATGTAAATGTCTGGTCCGTGAACCAAAGAAAACACTTGAATTCGAGCTGTCACAACTAAATAACAACGACGTCAAACAGAACTTTCTAATCTTCCATACTGGTTGTCAAGCCGCACACAAAACTCGGAGAAGACACCAATGCCGACCAGCCTAGCCTAGTGGTTTAAGCGTTTGGTCGTCACGCCGAAAACCCGGGTTCGAATCCCGACATGGGTACAATGTGTGAAGCCCATTTCTGGTGTCCCTTGCCGTGATATTGCTGGAATATTGCTAAAAGCGGCGTAAAACCAAACTCACTCACTCACTCACCCAAAGCCGACCATCGTCTTTAGAGGTTGCGTTGCTTGACGAGGGTTTCAGTTTTGTCAGATGCTCTCCTGCCCATATACAAATGTATAAGTATACGCAGTTACTAGGTATAAGACCCGTGAAGATTCCGGGGTAGAAGAGGTCTTCAGCAACCCATGCTTGCCGTAAAAGGTGACTATGCTTGTCGTAAAAGGCGACTAACGGGATCGGGGGTCAGGCTCGCTGACTTGGTTGATGCATGTCATCGATCCCAATTGCAGGGATCGATAATCATGATATTAATCACTGGATTGTCTGGTCCAGACTCGATTATTTACAGACCGCCTTCATATAGCTGGAATATTGCTGAGTGCGGCGTTAAACAACAAACCAACCAACTACTAGGTATAATATGGTAGTCGCAAGAATACCGTTTGTACTCCAAGACTGTGTTTGTGAATACATTAAACTGGCTTTTTTTCCCTGTGGACAAACATGTGTTTACCTTTGGTGAGTTTTGACGATGTTTTTGAGGACTGCCACAATGAAATACATTGTACCGAAAACTCGATATTTCTTATTAGTGAAGCCTAACTTGCATGTACTCTATTTAAACACCGCATAACTAAATCAAATTTCTAACATGAAATATTGTATTATGAATAAAAAATATGTAGTAAAATACATGTAATAACAAACTGTCTGTCATCATTGTCATTATCATGTCCTAGGATTAGCCTAAGGTTTGTTACGATTGGTATGTTGGAGAAGTCCCAAACACAAGAGACGCCTTACTGTCCAGCGTGTTACTTCAGCCTATATGGAGATATCTAGGACGATGATCATGACATCAACCACCTGGTTGTATGATTCAGTTATTTACAGGTCGCCGTGACCTACCTTGCATATAGCTGACTATGGCGTAAAACAACACACAAACAAATAAACACTAAGTTACCCGAACACATTGACATGCTGCATAGTAATGCTTCATTGACTGATGGTTCGTTGAACATGCTTGATGTCCTTAAAATAATTAGATTTGACAAAATACATTTTGGCTTTTCCTTTCAGAGAAAAAATTATGTTTGACTTGAAAAACATGCTGAACAGTAGCCAATACAATTTTCTCTGTCAACCAAAAATCCCAAACTACTGCCGCTACTTCTGTACAATACATGCATGTCAACGTGACCTTCCAACTGAAAGTGTCAATCAACTGTTCGAAACAGAAAGTAGCTTTCAGGACGCAACAACAGACAAACATTCCCCGGCTGAGTCAGTTTGGGCGGGGAATTTACCCTATAACCACAGAAAATTTCAGGTAGGACCTTAATACAATATGAATATGTATACATATATTGATTATATGTTGTATATACGTTAGTATTAAGTCGGTATTGCACTCGTCATAAAGAAACCAATAACTGACATGAGGTAAATCGATACCGTAATTCGATTACTGAAATGGGCAAGCAGTGTCGCTGTGTATGACAACTGTAAGCCACTTATATAAAACATAATAACCAACATTCACACTTCGTTTCTAAATGAAATGCTATTTTCGAACAATTACAGTGATGCGTTCCAGGAAATCACGTTAGATTTCCAAGAAAACGCTCGCTGTCACAAGCCGAGGTAAGCTATCATGAGATCGTCAGTACATAATGCCACGTCACGACGACCTTGTAGGCAATACCACCTCGCTTCGTTGAAGATTGGGTTGAGTTAAAACACATCTGTGACGTCATTCTATTGTTTGAACGCTCCATTATTTTTCAGGAATGGAGAGTTGCTTGTCAACTGTACATTATCTTGAAGCAGCATTTGAATTTTTCAAATATTTTCAACTACAGAATATTTTGTGAAAGTGTAAAAGTAGGGATGAGTTTTAAGTAGGGGAATATCCTCGTAACTCTCAATTCCTTAAAAATAATGGGCCTCGGTCCCTGCGGGGCCTCTGCTCCATTATTTTTAAGGAATGGAGAGTTACTCGGACATTCCCCTCTACGTAAAACATCAGTTATCAACTTGGAACCGCACAAACGACAGCCTGGGGGATGACACGGAAGATCGAAGAAGATGATTGGCAAGATTCATCTTCAAGATGATCCAATTCCTGCCTGATGAACAGTAGATAATTCAACTCAGGCAAGCTGATCTCACACAGGACCTCCAGAAGAACCTCAGCGGGATCTCAAGGGGAGATTGACCAATGTTTCTGTGCTGTATTCAAATATAAAAGTTTGGATAGAATTTCGAAAGGTTTAAGCTTGCGAATAAGGATTTATCTCTTTTTACATTGTACTATTACCAGCTGTTGTTTTTCTTCTTGTATCGCCAATCCCAGTAATATGACAGAACATAATGGTTAAATCGTCATTTACATATTTCATTTTTCTACCACTTCGCTTTTAACATGACCCTAAAGTACTCATGGAAATGCAAACAAAAACAGGGTTTTTTTCATTTCCGTAAGTACCTTTAGTGTTTGTAATCACACTGGCTTCCTATTGTTTGAGATCACCAGACCTTGAACACATGCCCCTTGCACTTTGTGTAAACACCCCGCAGTACCGTGCTTACTCATAGCCTAAAGTCTAGTCGAGGCTTTGAAAAGTTAACAAAAGGTAAGTTCGTGCATGGCTGCTTGCTAATGCAGGGTTATCAGTTCAGTTCAGTTTATTATGTTGTTATAATGTTGGGGTTGTTGCCGGGGTGTGCCGTGATGCCGAATGACGTAACCATGTCGCTGTAAATGCACGCATATGCTATACACAATACCAGTCCAAAACCTTTTTAATACTTTGAAACATTAAAATGTTCAAACTTATGAATATACATTTAAACGTTATAACACAAACACATAAATTAGTCGTGTCAGTATATGTATAAACTTTGAAGGTTCGAACATATCACTGTGAACAGCACCGAGTTCCCTGTGTTCATAACTAGCAGAGTGACACCATGCCGCTTGAAGTGGATTTATGGCGTCACTTATGCATGCTGCATAAGCACGGTCACCTCAGAAGAAAAAACATTCACATGTATATAACTGAAAAAATACAAAACATCCTACACTTAAAACAGTAATAGGTTATTTTACTAAACCGACTGACCAGTAAAACTATATGCCAAAATAACTAAATTTATATAAAATCAAACCTATTGGAGCACATAAAGCCGTAAATCACGAGATAGTACAGCGTAGCCGATGGTCAATGTAATGCAACATTTTTCAAATAAGAGTATATTTCTAAATCAGCATGTTGTTAGTCTTTGAAAATACAACATGAATTTAAAAAGCTTTTACGACTGGCACAAGTGAAAATATCACGTTAGACCGATCAAAAGTGCGCTGTTCATGTTGAAAAGAAAAATATTTATCGCATGCATTTTCACTGGGCTAACAATTTATAGGATCACGTGGGGATTCAAGGGGAGCAGAAGGCCCTGAACATTATGCTTACCGTTCGAGGCGACTACAAAACGAATATCGGGTGGATCGTTGGTCTTGCCATCAGCTATTGGTGTGCCTTGCCCAGACTCGATAACTCACCGGCCACCATCAATAAGCTTGAATAGAGCTTCAAAACGCCATCGCCAGAGAATAATCAGTTTCTCGAATCTGCGAAAACAGACTTCAATGGCATAATACGCAAAATAGTGATGGAAATTTTATGAACTCATCAATGCAAAGCAGTGTTGACACCAGGTGTTCCCGAAAAGGGTAACCATTTCCCGTTCGACTGGTAGTACCCGCCACCCAAATGACTTTTGTCGATGATATACAATACGAAAACAATACAACTGCTGAAAAAATCAACTTTACTTCTAAATGATGACAGCAATAGAAAATGGAATATTTTATCATAACACAATAGGGTATGTACAGGCGCGTCACTGCCCACTGGATATGTATAGGTGTGTCACTGTCACCTGGATATGGTTGGTGTGTCACTGTCACCTTGATATGAATAGGTGTGTCACTGTCCCCAGGATATGGATAGGTGTGTCACTGTCACCTGGATATGTATAGGCGTGTCACTATCACCGGTATATGGATAGGTGTGTCACTGTCACCTTGGTATGTAAAGGCGTGTCTCTGTTACCTTGATATGTATATGCGTGTCACTGTAACCTGGGTATGTACAGGCGTGTCTCTGTCACCTGGATATGTATAGGCGTGTCACTGTCACCTGGATATGGATAGGTGTGCCACTGTCACCTGGATATGTATAGGCGTGTCACTGTCACCTGGATATGTAAAGGCGTGTCACTGTCACCTAGATATGTATAGGTGTGTCACTGTCACCTGGATATGTATAGGTGTGTCACTGTAACCTGGGTATGTACAGGCGTGTCTCTGTTACCTTGATATGTATATGCGTGTCACTGTAACCTGGGTATGTACAGGCGTGTCTCTGTCACCTGGATATGTATAGGCGTGTCACTGTCACCTGGATATGGATAGGTGTGCCACTGTCACCTGGATATGTATAGGCGTGTCACTGTCACCTGGATATGTAAAGGCGTGTCACTGTCACCTAGATATGTATAGGTGTGTCACTGTCACCTGGATATGTATAGGTGTGTCACTGTAACCTGGGTATGTACAGGCGTGTCTCTGTCACCTGGATATGTATAGGCGTGTCACTGTCACCAAGATATAATAGGTGTGTCACTGTCGCCTAGATTTGTATAGGCGTGTCACTATCACCTGGATATGTATAGGCGTGTCACTGTCACCTAGATATGTATAGGTGTGTCACTGTCACCTGGATATGTAAAGACATGTCACTGTGACCTGCATATGTATAGGTGTGTCACTGTCACCTAGACACCTACAGGCGTGTCACTGTCCCCTGGGCATGTAAGGGCGTGTCACTGTCCCCTGGATATGTATAGCTGTGTTACATGTTACACACACACACATATATATAAATATATATAAATTGGCTGAGAGGAAGTAAAACGTATGTGAGTATAAACCTGTTGTTGCGTTTCTTTATTATGCGAGTATGAATGCTGATGGAGACAATTTGGAGTGAGCGTCGTTTTACCAATCACTCCTTAACATAGCTGAGCCGAGGCCCACAAGGCGAGTTGCACAGTCATGGCTTAACTACACCATGATGACCATGACTGGTTTAGCAACTGTAGTAGGGTCGCACTGGACACCCGATAGCAGTTACGACAATATGTATATGCGTGTCACTGCAACCTGGGTATGTAAGGGGGTATCACTGTCACTCGTTATGTATCCGCATGTCTCATGTTACCAATATTTGTATGTGAGTGTCACATGCCACATAATGTATAGGCATCTGTCAAAATCGATGTTCACCTTAATAATATGTATGATAATTAACGTGTTTTGTGCCGATTTCATGGCTGCAATCCTAACATCACTTTTTTCTGTTTATTTAAATTAACTTTTTTATCACAAATTCAAAGTCAGAATCAAGGAGAACAACCAAACAAGGGAAAAATCCTTGGCAAAGTCTCAACTGGAAATACAGAAACTATTCGCCCGTACGAACGGTATCTCTTGTCATTCAAAACAGGAAAGTAAGACATTTTACAATTTTATTAACTTTAAATAAATATGACGTAATATAAAACATGTGAAGAGTAATCACTCCCATGTCAACATGACACTTGGATGTATTCAGATATGGCACACGGGTACGTGAAGGTATGTCACATGAAATCAACCCAGTTGTGACTAAGGCAGTAGATTCATGTATCAAGTGATAAATATAAGAAACAGCATTACAACACAATATCGTTTCATACGCGTATCTAAAAATAACGTTATGGGCATCCTGTCATTGTTGTATTAAATTTGATATCAACTGAGCCAGATAATATCCTTTACACTTATCGTAGTGACAAAACCTCATTCATTTAAATTTCGCCATTCTGTAACATCACTCTGCAATAATGGATGAAGGAGAAGGGAGTGGGAATGATGGTGTATGCTTGAATTCATATATAACAGGTAGAGTAATCTTCTTCTCTCCAATACCCATATGGCATATGGATATATTTAGATATACAAGATAGCTACGCGATACATTGCGAAAAGCAAAGAAGAACGAGGCTGATCTATTTCACGATAAAACATTGTTCTATCATGTCGTCATTTTGAGAGATTTGAATATACACTTGCAACTTGATGACGTAACATATTGGATGACAATATTATTTGAAAAGGAAGTATCTAGTGAGTCGTTCGCCATAGATGTAGCTGGGGTACGCAGATAAACGCGGTGGCCGAACAGTCGCATTCAAAAGTGAGAGAGCTATGACAATGGGTATTGGGAGAAAAGGTACAGATAATCAACATGGGGATTGTGAGAAAAAAACAAACTTAACCCACCTGTTCATAAAATGGACTTATCTGACAATGCCGAGGTCAAATTCTATTCAGGGAAGTTATCATTATTAAAGTTAAGGTAACTATTCTTAAAGCTTGCGCATTTTATCAACACGATGTTGGTATCTCATAAAAGGAAGAAACGAATAGTGGGATATTATCGTAAAATAAAATACTGCAAGGAGATTCAACCATGAGGGCGCCGTTTAATCCTTAAGTATCACAGGGATATATGTAGGTTAAAACTATGTACAAGTAATGATGCAGAATTATGGATATCGATCAGAATCACACTAACACCTCTTTTAGAATATAATATGAACATATGTTCATATATATTCAAATGTCAGTGTATGCGCACGTTCAATATATTGTAACAAATGTTATATTTGAGATAACACTTACTGAGTACAGTACAGATTCTCGTACTTTTTGGGTGGAGTCCCGTCCGGGATTCGAACCCACACTGCCAGAATGAGGCACCTAATCACCAGCACACACAGTCAGCGATATGACCCACTCAGCCACCGAGTACGAGAATCTGCACTTTACTCAGAAAGCGTTATCCCAAATATAACATTTGTTGCATTTAACCACTTTCTGAATGGCACTGTGTGTTAATCGTTCAATATATATTGTCAAACACATATTTATAGTCATATGTGACAGTGTTTTCTCTGACTATTGTTGGCATTCATTTGTAGCATGTCCTTGATCATGACACTTCCAGCATACCTGTTCTGCTTTACTGTGAGCAAACAGACATGCCTTTTGATGTCGGCAAAAAATACCTAAGACAATGTTGTTGCACATGACGGTCTTGTACTTATACAAATTGTCCTGGGTCTTATTTGTAACATATTCATTCCGCTTTTCCAAGAACAACTTTTCTTGTTCCGTGTGAGAATGTTTACATTTTCTACCACTGTCACACTGAAAATGATATTCACAAGGGGTAGTGTACCGCTGGTGCTGTTTGCGCTGTTTGCGCTTAACTTGCTCAAATGGAACCTCGGTTTGTTCGGTGAGTATGGATTGGTGGCTACTGCTTCTTGGAAGTACAGGATCCTGGTATTGTTGATGGGTCATTTTCTGTGTTGTATCGTGTTGTGTGGCCCCGCTCGGTGATATTCGACCAGAGGTACAATCGGGATTACTTTCTCCATCAGCAGGTCCGAGGACTTTGTCAGTGCCAGATATGTTGGCAGTGGCAGCGGATGGGGTTGACATTCCATCGGCATCTTCACACCCCAGAACAGTATACCTGTTAAAACATAGATCGGGAGCTGTGTCCTTGCCGGGAGTGCTCTTAATGTAGTCAAAGTATGTCAGAACTTGTTCGCATAATTTAGGTACGCATAGAGTTTCTAGTTTTGGCTTATAGAGCTTTAAGGGAGTATCGTCATCCAAAGTTTTATCTTTGGACATGAGGAACAGGATTGCTAGGTCCTGACCCATAGCAGCCTCTGATGACTTTCGAAGTAGCCAGGCATGTTGCCAAGGCCATTTGAACTTATCAAGGGTTTTCTTTAACTCCATGAGTTCTTTGTTTTTCTCACCTTGAAGCTGTCTGACGCAATTTCGTAGCACGATCCCACGACTTAACAGCTCATTTCTGAAATGTTTGGACATAGTAAACCTTTCAGTGGTAAAAGTAAAATTATCGAAATAATCTGGATGTGAAAGATCATGAGTTGTCATTAATTGAGGATTTTTATCGCGAAGACGCTTAAGGTCTCCACCTAAATTCTTTTCCAATGCCCAAACCTCTACATTCCACCTTTTCTGGATAGCCTTTTCAATGCATGGAGACATGTCATTGTCACCGCTAACTATAACAACGGTAGATCCATCTTTCCTGTTTTCAGTATCATAAACTAATGCTGTCACATCAGCAACAATTTGGGTATCAACTTTTTTCTCTTTGTTTGTCCACTCACTTCTCTTGTGTTTCTTGATTTGCCAACCCTTTTCCTCTATTTTCTTCCATACTGTGTCTATTGGCGGCGGCTCTGATCCATACAAAGTTGCATTGTTCACCACTCTTCCATTGCTTATCAAATTAGCTAACCTTCCAACATCTATTCTCAAGCGAGGGTCTTCTGTAAACATTTTGTTGAGCCTATGTCCTTTCACCTTTTTGGCTTCTATCCATAAATTGGAATCGTCCAGAAAGATCCATATGCCTTCAGCAGTCATATCGGATTAACAATCTGCAATTGCAATGAATTTATATCTATGAGGGTAAAGTTATATATGCTTCAAAGTGCTTTTAATTTCAGTTTACACCAAGTAAGACCATCCATAATACTTTCTATGTTTCTCATTTCAACTCACTTTTTGAATTTTATTTAATATTCTAAATAAGGCTGAGCTTTTAGGAGGTAAAGCTGAAGTTTGTTCGTTTGTTATTTAACGCCGCACTCAGCAATATTCCAGCTATATGACGGAGGTCTGTAAATAATCGAGTCTTGACCAAACAGTCCAGTGATTTACATCATGAGCATCGATCCAGGCAATTAGGATACGATGACATGCATCAGCCAAGTCAGCGAGCCTGACCACCCGATCCCGTTAGATCCCGTTACGACAAGCATAGTCGCCTTTTACGGCAAGCATGGGTTGCTGAAGACATATTCTACCCCAGATCTTCGAGCTGAAGATTCATATACACATATTATGTATTCATATAGGTAACAGCTTACTCACCTTAGTGCGCCTCACTATACCAGACTGTATATACCAGACTGAGTGTTGAACTTAAATATGGCTACTTGCCTTACGTCATGCCTTAACTTATGTGTTCCAGTCATAGGCATGACTGTGTGTATCAAAATAGGCATACAATAGCGTGTTATGAATGTAGGGCATTATCAAGTGACTATGTCACACTGTTTGTAATTTGACCTTCACAGCATTATGAATTCATAATCACATTTGCGCTGTATTACCTTGCTGCGCACCGTATGCCACTGTGAATGGGTCATTGTTTTTTACAAGGAAGGTTTGAATTGCGTGTTTATCTATGTAGTCGACTCGGGGTTGTATTGCGTAAATTGATGTATTTATAACCGTGAGTGGTGGGTAGGGGCAATTAGTAGGGTGTGTGTGTGTGTGTTGGGGGGGTGGGGGGGGGACCTGACGTAGTACCTACCTTTGTAGTCATATATTGCACATGCAGGTTTTGCCCTTATTTCTGTAATGAAATGAACTTTAAATTAAACTTCATTAATTTTTTTCTATAATCAGAATTTATCAACGGGCGCCTTATAGACCATTTTAGCGAAGGAAACACCAGAAAACATCTGACCTTTGCCATAAATCTATATTGTTCTGCTGACTAATGTCTGGAGTATGATTTGTGAACGCAGTTTTATGTAAGGAAATAGGATGTGGGGGAGCTAGTTAGATCATCAGCAAAACAACAAACCTCTTTTTGTCTGTCTATCCAAACTTTTCGCCTCATCGCCAAGCAATAGGGAACTTGGGACCTATGGCAGTGGAATCTGTCTAAACCGAACTTCTGTAGCAACCGAGAATTTAATCCGGCTTAGGCTTCATGATAAATCACATAGTATATTTTGGGCGCCTAACTTTAGTCCGGTATTTGCGGAGATTCGAATTAGTAAGAATTTGACAGATTCAGGTGTATTATGGATTGAATTAATTCACCGTTGAAGGAGCTTAACGCCGCTCCGAACAGTATTCCAGTAATATCCTGTTCTCCACGTTTGCGTATCAAAGTCTGGTCAAGCTGATGAAGGGATCGAACATTTGACGCTCTGTGGGTGGTTGGGATTTTATTTTGAGATTAGATTTTTAAGCTACAGGTATTTTTTATTTATAAATATGAATCTGATTTTTGTTGTTGCAGGCACTTTATTTTTTTCAACAGTCTGAAGCACAATTATTCTTTTCAAGAATTTTACCATACCCCCAACCCCAACCCCAACCCCAACCCCAACCCTCAAAACCCGACTATCCAATAGTCGGTCAATAATAGAAATGACGATCACTACTATTGATATACTTTAACGATGAACAAAGTTGTTTTGGGATGACAAGAAACAAAACTAGCACAGTCAATTGGCCCTTGAAGATATCACGCAGTCTCTGGTCATTTGCCTGTACAGTTTGAATGTGTGTAGCGCTGGATCAAACTGCGATCTGAACTGAGTGCAGCGTGACGTCATTATCGATGAAGATGAATTCAGGCTGTGCTCCCTCAATTCTCTCCGATAACCTGCACCGTCTTACATCATTGACAAACACCTGCAACAAACACAAGATAAGTATTGATACTTTTAACTATGGAATCTTGTACGTGACACCTTCCCATATTCAAGATAGTCTACCTTTGTCTTTGAATAATAGTTCCATATACACAAACGACCATATACTAACCCCTTATAGCTACTCTCCATATACTGACGCTTCATACACAACCTCCATTAACAGGCGCTGTACAATCAACGTGTACGCCCACCCTCCTGATATTTACGCTGTTTACTTACCCTCGATATACTGACGCTGTATACCAACACTCCATGTACTGACACTGTATACCCACCCTCCATATACTGACACTGTATACCCACCCTCCATATACTGACGCTGTATACCCACCCTCCATATACTGACACTGTATACCCACCCTCCATGTACTGACACTGTATACCCACACTCCATATACAGACACTGCATACCCACCCTCCATATACTGAAGCTGTATACCAACCCTCCATATACTGACACTGTATACCCACACTCCATATACTGACACTGTATACCCACACTCCATATACTGACGCCGTATACCCACACTCCATATACTGACACTGTATACCCACACTCCATACACTGACGCTGTATACCCACCCTCCATATACTGACACTGTATACCCACACTCCATATACTGACGCTGTATACTCACCCTCCATATACTGACACTGTATACTCACCCTCCATATACTGACACTGCATACCCACCCTCCATGTACTGACACTGTATACCCACCCTCCATGTACTGACACTGTATACCCACCCTCCATATACTGACACTGTATACCCACCCTCCATGTACTGACACCGTATACCCACACTCCATATACTGACGCCGTATACCCACACTCCATATACAGACACTGTATACCCACCCTCCATATACTGACACTGTATACCAACACTCCATATACTGACGCTATATACCCACACTCCATACACTGACGCTGTATACTCACCCTCCATATACAGACACTGTATACCCACACTCCATGTACTGACACTGTATACCCACCCTCCATATACTGACACTGTATACTCACCCTCCATATACTGACACTGTATACCCACACTCCATATTATGACGCTGTATACCCAACCTCCATATACTGACGCTGTATACCCACACTCCATATACTGACGCTGTATACCCACCCTCCATATACTGACACTGTATACCCACACTCCATATACTGACGCTGCATACCCACCCTACATATACTGACACTGTATACCCACCCTCCATATACTGACACTGTATACCCACCCTCCATATACTGACGCTGTATACCCACACCACATATACTGACGCTGTATACCCGCACTCCATATACTGATGCTGTATACCCGCACTCCATATACTGACGCTGTATGCCCGCCCTCCATATACTGACACTGTATGCCCGCCCTCTATCTACTGACACTGTATACCCACCCTCCATATACTGACACTGTATGCCCGCCCTCCATATACTGACACTGTATACCCGCCCTCCATCTACTGACACTGTATACCCACTCTCCATATACTGAAACTCTATACCCACACTCCATATACTGACGCTGTATACCCACCCTCCATATACTCACACTGTATACCCACCCTCCATATACTGACACTGTATACCCGCCCTCCATCTACTGACACTGTATACCCATTCTCCATATACTGAAACTCTATACCCACCCTCCATATACTGACGCTGTATGCCCACCCTCCATATACTCACCATGTATACTCCTTTTTTTAGGATGATTTGGATGTTGGATTTTTCCCCGACTTTCATTTGATGCCTTCCCCCAAGTGTCTCGCTGCCCCATGTATTGTTGATGTACGTGTTACAATGGTTACAATGTTTCTGAAATCCATACTTGAAGCGGAAATCAGCGTAGAAGATCGTGTCCTTGCCTTTTTTCACATAGACATCAAATCTGAATATGAGAAATATCTTTTTACTGATTTTCAGAATCAGACAACCATACATTATCAAAATAGTCCTCGTAACTTGAAACTTGAAGAAGTAAATTATAACGAAGATAGTCACATGTGCGATGGGTTTTAAGGGAAAACAACACTGCTCATAATTCTGCTTGAAGTGAGTGAGTGAGTATGGTTTTACGCCGCTTTTAGCAATATTCCAGCAATATAACGGCGGGGGACACCAGAAATGGGCTTCACACATTGTACCCATGTCGGGAATCGAACCCGGGTCTTCGGCGTGACGAGCGAACGCTTTAACCACTAGGCTACCCGACCGCCCCTCTGCTTGAAGAAAAACGTTCATTCAACCTCATCAATACATTGTTAACATATTTTTCTTTTACATCGCGACAACAGCGTAGTCTTTCATTTCAAATCTTTCATTTCATGATGCCATATCATGACTGTCACTGTGTCGTATCCTTGGACGAGGTTATTGACTCCATTTGTCCAGCTGTGATATAACTAAAACAGTTGTTGGCTGTGATGTGAAATGCCCTTTAAACATATCGGCTCTCTTTTTTATGAAGAAAACAATCTCAGCCTCTAAAATGAAGAGAACAAACACTCTAGACTCTACCTAAAAAACACCATTTTACAACTTTTTAGGTACAGTCGATAATGTTCTTTATCCGAACATTTCAAAGAGCTTCATATTGGTCATGCTAAATAATGTTTTTGATGAGGGTTACACATTTAAGGCCTTAGTAAAGTTTTCACGTAGTTTTATGCTAGACATGTGGAGGACATTTCCAAATTTGACGCGTCAGTGACCAAAATTATGTCTGATGAAATTCTCTACTTTCACTTTTATCCATATGTTCCCGTGCTTATTTTTTAAGTGTACAAGTGACTTGCCTTTGCATGTGTTTGTGAATGGTGATATGGGACAGGATACGCTCACATTAAAGCGAACACTTGGTATTATCACTATTTGATGGTGATTCATAAACACATACTCATGACATAGTCGGTATTTTACAATGGCCTCTGTTTTTATGCTTTTAGCAGGGATTGCATTTAATGATTGACAGGGTTTTGTCGCTTTTATTTCAGTGGAAAGTATGATCAGCGACCCTCGCCATCGGGGCCCCTTGAAAACCAATCAACCTTGTGTCACAACTCGACCTAGTGGTTTTGTCGTTACAGTTGAAACATGATTCCACGGTTTTGGTTGAAAATGAACAAACCTCGAGCGAGGAAAATGCACCAACCACGTCAGTGACATGGACTTTTACATTTTCAACCAAAACCACGGAGTCGTTCCCAAACCTGGTTTCAATAAATGCATAACCAAAACCTGATTTCAATAAATGCATAACCGAAACCTGATTTCAGCAAATGCATAACCAAAACCTGATGTGAACAAATACATATCCAAAACCTGATTTCAACAAATACATATTCCAAAACCTCATTTCAACAAATGCATATTCCAAAACCTGATTTCAATGAATGCATATCCAAAACCTGATTCCAACAAATACATATTCCAAAACCTGATTCCAACAAATACATATTCCAAAACCTGATT